TCCTAAAGTTTATTTTTTCAGACATAAATTCAATCAAATAATTTAGATACGCATAAATATAGAATTATTCTTCAATGATTAGAAATCAGCAAATCAAGTTCTAGCAGATAAAAATTAGGCATCCTGGTTAATATACTAGTTCACGTTTAGTTTTGCAGCCATTTTCTTCAAGAAATTCGCCAGATGGTTTTTCCTTGTCCTAAAAAAAAACATCAGATTTTGGCAAAAATTTGGTGTTCTTGAGGTTATTTTTGGTGCCATAAGCCCGAAATATTTGGTCCTGAATCATCTCTTCAGACAGCCCCCATGCATGCAGTTCTTCCAATTTGTGATGAATAGCCAGACTGTATTCTCCATTGCAACCTAATTGCAGAACTTTGTATTCACAATTTTGTGGATTTTTGAGTCCCTCAAATTGCTCGACAGTCCAATTGAACCATTTCATGAGTAACAGAAGAATGGTCAATCCATGGGAAACAATTATCAGATTCAGTTCCTCTGAAGGGTTGCTGCTGTTTAGCCTGTTTGTTTCCATTTCCCTCCATAGAGTTTCAAGAAAACCTGGATGTGAAAAACTTGATGTTAGTGCATGCCCCGTAAGATGGTGGCTCGTTTGAATATACCAATATTGAAATTTATGTGCTCATTTTTTGAATCTTAATCAGATCTAATTGCTGACTTGAGCTTACTATGTTAAGACTTGAGGTACCAACTTAAAAGGTTAATCTTATTAAGAAGAGTAGTTAATCCCTTATAAATTGGTCTATATTTTCATCTACATTGTACGTGGAATTTTATCCCCTAACAACCTACACTCAAAGGAAGGGCATCGAAGATATTTTCCCATAATAAATCAAACTTTTAGATGCAGTTCAATGATAAAATGAAAAAACACGTATTTTTATGTTTATGATGCGAATGGAGGAACTTACTGGAAACTCTGTCATAAACATCGGCGCTGGATTCCCCGTCAGGCACCCGGTAGAAGAATTTCCCGTACCTGTTTCTGTTTCGCTTTATCTTCTTCCTCTTCTCAAGCTCCTGGAAATTCCCAAAATGCTGTTCTCTCAGCCTGCATTCTTCCTTCAATCCAATCACTTTTTCCTCTGGAAATTCCTCCCCGATTATCGTTCCCAGTGTCTGCTTCGTGCGCTCTGATGGAGACACGTAAAACAAGACCTTCCAGTTTTCCGATTCTCCATATTCTGATACCACTTTCTTGATCTCAGAACCAACGTTTTGAGCCTGCTCAATCCCTTTATTGCTTAATTTGATTTTATAATTAGGTATATATTCAAGAACTTCTTCATCTTGATTTCCTTCACTCTCCCCATGGCGAACCAGTATTATGCGCTTCGGCTGCAAGCATTCAGAGGTGAAACCGGTGCTTTTCATTCTCTCTGAGGCAAAAATAGAATGCATGATTGCAAATATAGAATATAAATACGAAATTCTTGTGTGTGTGTGTGTGTGTATATTTTGTGTGTATATGATTTGATTTGTTGGAACTTCATTAATGAGCATGCATATATATATGTGAAGATCAAGAATTCCTGAACACGGCATGCAGTTTGACCACCTCACTAATTGGCGAACTATTTCCTCACTTTTTCACTTTGACCAAATTGTCTAACGGTGTGTTTGATCTTTGAAATTTCGATTGAACAACAACGTCCACATTAATTAATTACCTCGAAGTTTAATGTACTTTTAAAGCAGAAATAACAACTTGAAAGCAGCAGAAAACTGCACACGTATTGTCTTGATGAACAGTACCGCCAAGAATGTATGGGAAGTTTTCTTCTTGTAAGGCTCGAGAAAATAAAAGAATGTATGGGAAGTTTTGCCTCATAAGTGAAAAGAATATTTTTATCAAGAATTGTTGTGGCGATTTAATTGTGGTGACACTAGTGTTAAAGTTAGTCGGATAGTACGTAAGGCTGAACTAGATTTATTTGTTATCAATTAGTTCACAAGCTGACGTGCTTTTTAAAATGAATGGTTCATGCTCATAATAATATGATTTTAGCTGAATAAAAGCACTCTAAATTGTCTTAAAAAAGAACATGTTCATCAATAATTTAACATTCGAGTGCTTACACAAAAAGATAATATATACGGTCGAATGAATATTCTTGTGTCCGTAAAAAACGGTCTATTGTCAAATATATTCTAAATAAATCATGAAATCACAAGGATTTAATGTAATTTCGTTTTGTTTTCAATAGAATATACATGAAAGAGACTAAAATTTGACACGTTTGACTATTGACTTGGAAGACTCAGAATTAGAAGGGTGACTGTTCCCTGCCCCTAACCTTGGACCTATTCCATGTGTGAGTGCGGCATATCTAGCATATGTAGTACGAAAATTCTCGACAATTTTCAATTATATGTATATAGACTTCCTTTCAAACTATAAGGGAG